TTTTAACAAGCGTAGCTGATTGTTTAAGTCGTTGATGCTTCACTACACAAGCGTCATATGTAAAAAGTAATGTACATGATACACACAGAGATGATTATACAGAGCTATTCCAGGATTTAAATGTGATTGACCTTGAAACCCGGCCAACTGATAAATATAATGTACGGAGAAGATTCAATTTGTAGACGACAAATTTAATTTGCCCAAAAGATCAATCATTAATGATTCCCGGGAATATATTGAAACAGGAGGAAAAACGATTCCAAATAATTTGAAGTCATTAATCAACTGCATTACATCATTACCATGCAACACTACTGAATGCGAACGAGGTTTTAGCTGCATGAACAATACTATTACACCGAATCACAGTAAACTTCTTATAAGTCATGTATTATGTCTATTTTTTATTCAACTAAATGGACCACCAATGCATAAATTTAATCCCTTGTAGTATGTGAAGCATTGGCTATTAACGCATTCTACCGCAGAGGAATCTCGTTCAAGATACGTGAACCACGAAGCGGAAGATGAACATATTGCAAAAGATAAGAAAAAAGTACGAGCTTTATTTAATTAGAAATGTGTATTCTAGAAATGTTTATGTAGAATAAGGTGAACATAGTGTGCATTAGTTTCGTGTAACATACAAAAAATACAAATATGCCAAATACGAAAATGTGGAGCACCGAAGTAATACAAAATCGTTCCTCACTCTCTCCATCTTATTTCCTCTCGTCCCAATCTATACGGCGTACCGCACGATACGATCTGTATGTACCTTTTTTTTTGGTACCTCTTTCCGCCATATGTGGATTGGTGTTTCAAAGCCATGGCAATCGTACGCTCAAAGCATCCGCCAGACCGCCAGGATTCTCTTTTTTTAGAACTACACCACTGTATACAATGACCACGTAAACACCGACATGTCTTAAGCCGTAATCACACTACAGACTCCCGATTCTGACTCCCGACTCCCGACTCAGAATCGATCGAATAGAGTGATTTCTATTTTCGAGTCGGCAGTCAGAGTCGGCTGCTGCCTTACTGTAATTGGTTGAATTATAATCGGGAGTCCGAGTCAGTAGTCGAGTCAGAGTCGGGAGCCTGTAGTGTGATTATGGCTTTACGAGGATTTCTACCAACTGTGTTGATGCATTTGGCAACAAAAATATGGATTCGTAGTGATAGGCAAAGACAGTGCTCTTACGAATGAGCGATACAGAAAAGGATATTTAACAAGTTTACAATACCGTAACGTGGTTAGTCGTTGTCGATATGTCAACTACGCAACGTTCTCCCGCAAGTGCAACATATAGCGTTTTTCACTGGTCGCACTAGTGCGCACTAAGTGCGCACTAACAGAGAGCAGCGTGTTTCACTGGGCTTTTCAGTGCGCATTGTGGCGGTGTACGCTATTTCACTGGAAAACTTGGTGTCGAGTTTTTGCATTTTAATGCAGAAACTCGGCACGAGCTCCAAGAGACAGTGTCGGTCTGGTGCAATATGGCAGCGCGGCATATTGATACCAATTTCGAAGCTCGATTAGCACTTCAACTGGTAGATGTACTATCCTCATCGTCATCCAGTAGTGATGAAGATGAATTATGGACTAAAAACTCTCGAAAAATTCCAAAAATCGAAAACTTTATTGACGTGGTGCATAATCTTACAGATAAAAAGGTTAAAAGTATATGTTTTCATTATCAGTATGTATGTATGTACATGTTATCAGATTATTGTGTAAAGAAATTATATATATGTTGTATAAATGCATTAATAGACTTCATTTATTTATGTAAAATAGAGAAATATAATATGTACAATAATTATTATGTATTATACAGTTCAAAAGTCATTTTCGCGTGTCAAGAATAACAGCCTACAAAATAATAGATGCTTATTCAATTTCGCAATTCTATCCTTCCAATCGGACTCATGGAGGTAGTGAACCTGCTTCTGCTGAATTGGATATATTATCATTCTTATGGTAAGTCAATATTATGTACTCTGCTTTTATTGATATATGGCTATTTATTATAGGATATGTATGCATATAATGACCTATAGGTATTTATGGCAGAGTATACATATTAATATGTCTCTATATATAGGTTCGCTGGAAATAAAGTATGTCTCAGAGATGTCTCTCAAAGATTTGGGGTTTGTCCTGCAACAACTTTCAAGCAAAATGAACAAGTAGTAAATTTTTTAATTGATATGGCTCCAAAGATAATCAAGTTTCCTGAGAATAAGGAACACTCTGCAAACAAGTTCTTACAAGTATATTGATGCAATGTTATATTTATATGTTACATAAAGCCAGGGCTGCGAAGTAACACGTTACTGTTAAATGTTTTGTACTTTATATCATAGGCTGCATTCTGATTGTCAGTGTCACTGCCAATACTGAAAATCCGTAGTATATTATAACGTGAACTATAAATAGTAGTATATAACGTGAACAATAAATTTTCAGTATATGGTTCAGTAAATATTTGGAATACACTCTTAATAAGAACATTAATGTTTTAAAACAATATTTAATAAAAATTTTTAATAAAATCTACGTTCGTACGTTATAATGTAATTTCATAAAAATAAGCATCTATTAAAAAATAAAAATATTAATATAAAAAATTATAAATTTATTAAATAACTTTATTATAAAGAAAAATAAAGAAAAACTTGCTCCATATACAAACTAATTTAGACAGTTTTCAGTTTTATTATTATATTTATTTATTATTACATTTAATATTGATTATCAAATAATGTAATTTTAAAGTCTAATTTATTTCAATGTTACAAAAAAGTAACGAATCGTTACTTTGTCAAGTAACGGTAACGCATTTTTAAATGAGTAACAGGTAACGGTAACAATAAGTTACCGTTACTTTTTTAAAGTAACATTCCCAACTCTGCATAAAGCATATGTAAACTTTAAGATTGCAGGTTTTCCTAATGTACTGGGCTGCATTGACGGTACATCAATTAAAGTGAGAACACCAGCACATAAGATCAAGTCTACTTATGTAAATAGACATGACATTCCTTCTGTTACTCTACAGGGTATATGCGACGCTAATAAAAGATTTATTGACGTCTTTACTGGTGTTCCAGCAAAAATTCACGACTCACGTATTTTAAAGCTGTCAGATATCAATGAAAATTTACCAACAATATGTGACGGTAAATATCATCTATTGGGAGACGCAGCATATTCTATAAGAGAATGGCTATTAATTCCCTACAGAGATTACGGAAACCTAACTATTGAACAACGCGAATTCAATAAACGATTCTGTGCGACACGAGTATTGATTGAAAATGCTTTTGGACTATTAAAAGGCCGTTTTCGACAACTCACGGAGTTACATCTTCATAGTATTGATAAAATATCAAAATTTATTATTTCTTGTTGTGTTTTACACAACTTATGTATTGATAACAACGATGATTTTGATTTTGAATTCGAAGATGTCCTAAACGATAATGAAGAATGTAATGATCAAGTTCAGGCAGAGCAGGAAGCTCTACTCCGAAGGTTGGGAGAAATAAAAAGAAATGAATTATTGAAGGCAATGTTTCCATGAAATAAAATGCGCAAAAAATGTAAAAAATATGCAAAAAAATGATTTATCATTTATTTACCCTTCATACTCATATATAAAAAAAACTTTCTTAACATTCAAATAAATAATATATTGTCATGTATTCTTATATCTGTGTGTGAATCACTTTTTAACATTTATATTATTTTATAAACATGTAACAAAATATTTATTTTATTTTGTAACTTCTAAAAAAAATTATCGACTTACAATTATATTAAATGCACATTTTAAATTTATATTTTGTGTTGAATATCACAGAACTTAATATATAAAAAAGAATTTGTAATGTTAAGATAATTAATGCTTTTAAGAACCGCGACAGTTATCTTCAAAGAATTTTTAAAATAATTTTTATAACTTTTAGGAACCTTTTATAACGCAGTCTTTTAATATTCACATGTAGTTAACAATGTTAAAGTACTATTACTATATTATATCCTTTTTTCTTTGGTTCCGATTTTGTACTTTTTTCGGCTTTGTACTTTATTTAGCTTGATATTTTTCTCTTTTCTTTATTACTCTGTGTTTTTCTTAGCGAACAGCTCACGTATCAAGTCTAATTTTTCTTGATGACGCTTTTCTTTTGCAGCTTCCTTTTTTTCATAATATTCCCATCTTTTATCCTCAATAGTCTTTCTAGACTTTTCCACAGTCTTGCAGGTTTCTTCCGACAACATTGATGCAGCATCTAATTTGGGATACTTAACACTTTTGGCACTTCGCAGAACCTCAGGTTCAATGCTGTCATCTAAATGGGCAATTTTGCTCAAATGTTCTTCAAATGGTACCTCCTCTCTGGAACTACCAGATTTTCTGTTATTCTCCACTGCCTTCTTTTTCCTCTTGAGGACAGTTTTGTATCGATTTTCAATCTGTATCGGAGTTTTTGAAATATTCAACATTTCCGTCATATCTTTTGATATTTGTAACCACATCTGTTTTTTTGTTTTGAATCTCTTCATAGGACCAATATTGGCCAAGTATGTTTCATACTTATCCAACATAAACGATGTTGCTGAATTACTCCAGAAATCTAAAACATAATTTTGTATATACTGTAATTTTATATTTGGTAATTGTAATATTAAGAAATAATCAACGGTGTATAATATTAATAAATCGCATTTTCTTCACAATAGCATAATAAATGTTTTATGCAATTTTCTGAACATAAAAAAATTTCTGAAATGTATTTTAATGCACTTTTAAAACATTAGAATTATTTGATCTGTTTTTTGTTCTTGCAATAGACTGCACACACACACTATAGAACTCTCTTTCTCGTTTTCGACAAATATTAAACATATACCTCTCACTTTTAAGTTCCAAAAGTGTGCACTAAGTTCAGCCACAAAAAACAGACCTATTGTCTACCACAATTTTCTATGATACTAAAAATTAACGCATATTATAATATGCTATTAAAATATTGTACTGGTATCACAATACACTTATATGAAGTATTAACATTGCTTTAATGAAATAAATTTACCGCAACTTTTGTCAACGTGCTCTTCCGATTCAAATTGTGAACGTGTACTTTCGTTTTCTTTATTATGCCCAGTTAATAGCTGACCTTGAATACTGTGGTCCAAATTATTAAGGAATATTAGCTGTTCTCTGCAAAATAAACCATATATTCTTACATATATCATTCTTTACTTTTTATTGATATTCTATTTAAACTACTATGGGTGCTTTCCATTTGATGACACAAGTGTTTTTGTTACTCTCTGAATGTCAAGAAAGATAGAACGATGTTTGCGTCGACTTGTGTAGATTAAAAAAGCACCCTTCGATTATTTCAGCGAGAAGAAAGGTAAGATTGTGTATAAAATTATGCTTATATAATTAATATTGAAACATTGATATCAAAATTCAACATACAGTTGATTTCATCTTTACTTACTTATTTTCAATTATGCGAGATATTTCCAGAATTTCTTGACCACCATCTAATATAAACAATCTATTTTTTACCAGGAGTTTTATATACTGTTTGCTGTAATCATCATTGTCTGAAAGTGATTAGAGTAGACAAATGTACTATTACTGTTTTTTTCCACTTTTTAAATATATTTGTAAATTATTGAAATATGTTTTGCAAGCATAAAAGTACACATTTTTTCATAAAAAAATTATTACTTGAGCAACAAACATAGTATCATTTCCGTTCAAAGGCTTAAATTAAGATGTATCATTTGGACTTTTATTTCCAGAAAATTTCAATATATATATATATATATATTAAATAACATTTATTAGTTTTTTTTATCAGCTTTTTTATTATCATAATATTTTTCAGTATTTTTTTCTGCAATAAAATTAAAAAAAAAGAAAACATGTTTGTCAAGGCTGACAAATAACCTCAAAATATACACTTACTTATTAATTTATTGTAAAGTTCCACTTCGCTTTGTTGCAGCTTTAATTTTAGCGACTTTCCATTAACTTTAAAATTTACTTCAAATTCTGTCATATTGACAAAAATTCATACGTATGTACGAAGAAACACAAATAGAAAATGGAAAGTGGTAAAAAATCGTGGCACTTAATCGGCGTAGAATGTTTAGCTGAGAGTGCAAGAAATTTGCACTTTCAGAAACATCGTGCAGTGTCGGTGCGCACTCGTACAATTTCGGTGCGCATTCAGTTCATTCCAGTGAAAAACGCTAATAGATAGCAGCAAAGAACTCAAGGATCTCGAGAGAATAGTAAAGAAAATTGCGAAAACGAGTGACTCGATTCGTAAAAAACTTCGCGCTTTAAAAATCGGTAAAATAGACGAAGATACAGCATTATAGGAACATTTTAAGTCTGTCGTCAAACCTCTAAAACGGATAGTCCATAACTCTGTGTGGGCGAGGAATCTCAACCGATAAAAAAAAAAAGTCAACGTTGGGAATGATAAAAATATTAAGAAAAGAAAACTTAAAGATAATGTAGATGTTTGTGATAATAAAAGTGATAATTACTGGATGATGATGATGATAATGGTGATAATTACTGGATGGATAATGCATGGTTTCAATTAACACTGCCAAAGCAATGTACAAGGTGCTTCCGATACATACATATCAGTATGTTGGGTTGCCTATCTGATTATCGGCAGGGGCATATGCTCATCCCCAAAAATCTGCTTATAAATTTCTCTGTTTATCTTTTATCTTTCTCTGTTTATCTATTTATCTTTTCTCTGTTTCTTTTAATACAGAGAAAGAACGATCATATTATTTCTGCCTCTCACTCTACTCGTTTTTCTACCCCCACCACTACCATCAGCGGTCTATTCTATATGTCGATGGTTAAAACGCGTTAAAAATTACAAAATAATATAATGGAACCTGAACGAAATCATTGTTCGTTTAAAGAATTAACACATATGATTCTTATTTACGGTGAGTGTCGAAAGAATTTCGTCGTTGCTTAAGACGATGGAAAAAACCGTGGTCTGGATGTCGTCTGTCCGGAAACCTTTGAGCACATAAAGTGTAGCCTTTGATTCTTTCGACACTCACCGTAAATAAGAATCATGTCTGTTAATTCTTTAAACGAACAATGATTTCGTTCAGGTTCCATTATATTATTTTGTAATTTTTAACGCGTTTTAACCATCGACATATAGAATGGACTGCTGATGGTAGTGGTGGGGGTAGAAAGACGAGTAGAGTGAGAGGCAGAAATAATATGATCGTTCTTTCTCTGTATTAAAAGAAACAAAGAAAAGATAAACAGATAAACAGAGAAAGATAAAAGATAAACAGAAGCAGATTTCTGCGGATGAGCACGCCTCTGCCGATAATCAGATTGGCAACCCGACGTACTGATGTGTATGAATCGGAAGCACCCTGTAAGAAAGAATCGAATGTTACATCGGATTCATCTAAATTATGCATCGCCTGAATCACATAAATTATCAAATGAACGTTTGCACATTCCCGCAGTCGAAGACGTTCATGAAACGCCGAATAAACAGATCGAAACATTAATTAAAGAATTTTTGCAAACGCGATCACATGGACAAAAATATGTAAACATGCTTCTCGGTGATAGAGAAAAGTCGATCGATCACGTTTATGGTGTATATCACAAGAAGAACGGCACGATTCTTTGTGACAAACAGTTCAATGTAAAACAGTACGTCGTCGAAATGCCACACGACGCTCGAGCGACATTACTACACGTGGCTTGACCTTTTCATTTCTATGACATGATTTTTTTCTAATATCACTTACTTTTTAGAGTACAAATATATCACAAATATATGTAAAAAACAATTAAAAACATTATATAACAGAAAAAAGTGAAATACGGTGAAAGAGAGAGGTGGTGGTGGTGGGTGGGGGTGGAGGAAGGAGAGGAGGGGGAAGAGGTGCGGTGGGTCGAAGTTGGTGGAGATGTAAGTGAAAGGTGAGACAGGAGAGAGGTGCTTATGACTGCGAACAGAGAAGAAGAAAAAGAAGAAGGAGACGTTACTTCAGTTTTTATGAAAATAATAACTTTTTGACCGCTTGCATCTCCAGAACGGCTTGACCGATTTAAATTTTTTTTGGCTCAAATTACTTGTGGCGATGCTGCCTTTCAGGACATATAACGTTCGATTCAAAATTTTTTATCTTTTAGTAGTTATGCACCCCCCAAAAAAAATGAACTTTGGGCTCGGGATAAGAGACTTGTAGTGTCTTTCAGTTTTTTAACATGGTCGGAGACCAATAAATAAGACTTTTTGAAAACATCTCCTGATGTTTTCAATGTTGGCATAACTGCCAGCTGGAGCGATTCGCATGCAAGCGGCCATACGTGGCGCCCTCGGTCGTTCACTTACGTTTACCAGAAGTCCTTTGTTCTTCTTCTTCCTCTCTCTTCTTTTTGGTTTCTCGTGCAGTCAGCACGTGTTATTTTGTACCGCGAGTTACCGCGTATAATAAATTAGTTTCTCTGATTCGAGCCGAGTGTACGTGATTTTGATCCCGTCCCTCTAACAGGTTATGGGCCCAGGACACTAGAAAAGTCGTGTGATCGGTGGTAGTTCAGTGAATACGCGTAAAACACATTCGACGTTCTTCGGTTCTCGTCGTGCGCGGGAAGGCCGTTAAAGCGGACGATTATAAAAGGGTTCCCCGGCGTGTGCACGCAGAACGAAGTGAGTGCGGTTGACAAAAAGTAACGAGACTGTGTACGGCGAGGTGTACGAAAGGAGTACACGAGACATTATTAGTGGACATATATAAAGTACTTGGCTTGCGCGCGGGAAGCCATCTTGGACGGACGTCGTCGGACATCCTTCTCTCGCAAATCGAGCATCTCTCTCACTCTTTCATTGCACGTTGAAATATCAGTTTATCACGATGAATACAAACAGTATAGTGCGTATCGAAGCGCTCGGACGCGACAACTATGATACGTGGAAACTACAGGTGCGTGCATTATTGACGAAGAACGATGCTTGGGGTTATGTCAGCGGAGAAATCGTGAAGCCCGAAGTCGTTGCAGGCAACGCGGCGTCCGAAGCAGCGGCCCGAGAATGGATCAACAAAGATGAAAAGGCAAAATCTGATTTGATTCTATCGATAAGCGCGAACCAGTTAAAGCAGGTAAAGAACTGCGTTACATCTCGTGAGCTATGGCTAAAATTACAACGCACGTATGAATCAAGCGGACCGGCGCGCAAAGCGACATTACTAAAGGGCTTAACGTTACAGAGAATGAACGAGGCAGGCGACGTACGCGAGCATCTTCATGATTTTTTCGATACGGTGGACAAGCTATCCGACATGGATGTTCAAATAAATCCAGATCAGCTCGCGATCATGATGCTTTACAGTTTACCTACAAGCTTCGAAAATTTCAGGTGCGCCATTGAGAGTCGCGATCAACTGCCCACGCCCGAAAACTTGCGTACAAAGTTATTGTGGAGCACGACGCAAGAAAGGCGGCCACGTCGAACCCCATACAAGGAGCCATGATTGCGGATAAGAAAAAATCAAAGCCTAAGAAGCGTACGGGAAAGAGTGACCAGGAAAAGAACAAGAAGTTCGAGTTCAAGTGTTACAAATGTCACGAAAAGGGACATAAGGCCTCGGAATGTACGTCGAAGACTACCGATAACAAGAAATCCGAAAGCGTATCCCTTCTCTCCACCGGTGGAGGAAGCGAATGTCAAATGGCAGAAAGCACGGGAGAGAGTGCCTGGTGCCTGGACAGCGGTTGCACATCTCACCTATGTAAAGACGTGGACACATTCACAAGGATCAACGAGTACGAATCCGGCAGAATAAATTTGGCGAGCAATGCTTTCGCGGAGATCAAAGCAAAAGGCGTGGCCGAAATTGCGACAAGTGCGAACGGCAAGCGGAGTGACGTTATCTTAAGCGACGTACTTCACGTACCAGAACTTCGCACAAATCTACTCTCGGTTTCGAAGATCACAGATAAAGGCTACAAAGTAGTGTTCGATGACCATGAAGCCGCGATTGTCGACAAACAGGGACACACGAAGCTGACCGCGAAACGCATCAATAATCTCTACTATGTAAAAGGCACATTACCGGAAAGTTGCCGTAACACGGAACATGAGAGCGAACGAAAAGACACCGCAGCAGAGTCGAGGGACCTCTCATTGATCTGGCATCGGCGAATGGGTCATCTAAACTTCCAGGATCTATACAGCGCATGGAAAAACGGAGCCATCCGTGGAATTGAGATGAGCGACAAAAGCCAAAAGTCGAATTGCGAGATTTGTATTCAGGGGAAGATGACACGATTGTCTTTTCCGAAGGAGTCGAACCGAGAAACATCGACGTTGGAACTAATACATACGGACGTGTGCGGTCCTATGCGGACATCGTCGAACGGCGGCTCATCCTACTTTATCATTTTCATCGACGACAGTACTAGGTGGACGGAAGTGAGATTCATCAAACATAAGAGACAAGCACTTGATGAGTTCAAGAGTTTCAAGGCGTTCGTTGAAAATCGCCACGATAAGAAAATTAAGGCTTTACAGTCGGATAATGGTGGCGAGTTCATTAATAAAGAATTCGATGAATATTTGAAGTCTCAGGGCATTCAACGAAGGCTGACGACACCCTATACACCCGAGCAGAATGGGGTAGCGGAGAGGAAGAATCGGACGTTGGTAGAGTCGGCACGATGTCTTCTGATTCAATCCGGATTGTCTCCAGTTTTTTGGGCCGAAGCCGTTTCTACGGCGAATTATATTCGAAATCGTTGTCCAACGAGGAAGCTCAACGGAAGGACCCCCTACGAGATTTGGCATGGACGCACGCCTACCGTGGCGTACTTCAAGGAGTTTGGATGCAAAGTGCATTGTCTTGACAGAACTCCGACGAAAGGAAAGCTTGATATTCGTTCAAGGGAGGGGATATTCATAGGATACCCCGAAGAATCGAAAGGTTTTCGAGTATGGATACCGGATGCTCGGAGAGTTGAAATCACGAGAGAAGTACGTTTTCTGGA